TCTATTTATCCATCCGTCTATCACTTGGCCGTGCAGTGCCCAAGCAGACACCGCAGCCACGACGGGCTTTGACCCAGGCAGAACGAACCGGAACACCAAACATTTATCTCTCTTCCCTCTTTCCCTCTCCTAGCCTGGACTTTGAAACAAAACTTCCAATTGCATTTAGAGGTAGGAGAATCCGCCCTTCCCTGCTAGTCCTTGGCAGTCTCCGCTCCGAGGATTTCCATCCTATGGGACAATAAACCCCGGGGTGGGGGGAGAGAAATGTCTCCTTGGAATAGATGGATTATTTTTGGGAAGGTGGGAATAAAATATATCTCTTTCTGCTGGTGAGACCCCGCTTACAATTCTTACAAGTTGCAAATAAACTTTTAATTGGCAATCATCCTGCACACACGGAGACCTCGACAGCTGGGAAGCGGCATTAGCACTCAGATCCTTGGATCTTCCAATCCAATATTAGCACGAAATATAATCTGCTTCTCTTAAAAAAAATTTTTTAAAAAAAATCTGACATGCTATCCACAAATCGAAATGCACAAATGCACTTTGCACGCCAATACATACCATGGGGTCTTCAGGGCAGGTATCTTGATAATCAGATTCGGGAACACCATTAGGACCACAGCACTTCAACTACAGCAAAAAGAAACACAAGAATTGTTTGTCCCGAAACGAGATGCGAGAACAACTCTAGTTGGCATGACACCCCTAGGCCAGGGGTCTTCAAACGTGGCCCTTTCATGACGTGTGGACTTCAACTCCCAGAATTCCTCAGCCAGCACGCCTGGCTGAGGAATTCTGGGAGGGGTCTTCCAATTCGGCCCTTTTATGACTTGTGGACTTCAACTCCCAGAATTCCTCAGCCAGCATGCCTGGCCGAGGAATTCTGGGAGGGGTCTTCCAACTCGGCTCTTTTATGACTTGTGGACTTCAACTCCCAGAATTCCTCAGCCAGCATGCCTGGCTGAGGAATTCTGGGATGGGTCTTCCAACTCAGCCCTTTTATGACTTGTGGACTTCAACTCCCAGAATTCCTCAGCCAGCATGGCTAGAAATACGGAGTAAAGAGTAGGAATGGAATATGTGCTCTTATTCATATCAAATACGTGGACCCAGACAACACGTTTATTAAACACTAAAGATTGTAACTATAAAAACTTAATAAAATATAATAATAACGATAATAATAATGACGACGATGATGATGATGATGATGATGATAATAATAATAATAATAATAGTAATAATAATAATAATAAAAAAGTTGGAAGGGACCTTGGAGGTCATCTAGTCCAACCTCCTGCCCAGGCAGGAAACCCTAGACGATTTCAGACCAATGGTATAGGGTTTCCTGCCCGAGCAGTGGGTTGGACTAGAGGACCTCCAAGGACCCTTCCATCTTTATTATTATTATTATTTGAAACAATATTATTTAAATAAAAAAGAAAAGAAAAGAAAAAAAAGAGAGAGCCCTGGAAAGAGGGGCGTGAGGAAGAGGGGCAAGGCCCTTCCTCTTAACTGTGGGGCTAAGAGGTGGGGCTATAACCCCAGAGAGGCCGTCCACGGTGAGGGTGGTCCCTTGTAGCCGCTCTCTAAGAAACCCCCTGCCCAAAGCGAAGAGTAAAGACGCCAATGAAGGAGAGACTTACTGCGAAATGGAAGGCCTTTAGGCTGGCTTTCACCTTGGGGTCCTTCCTCTTGTCGTACAAGGTTGTATAAAACACCTTTATTTCTCTCGGGATCTGACAAAAGAGGAGACAAAAGAGAAGCCTTGCAGGTCAGGGTCGACATGAAGGGGTCCTTGGGACTCTCTGGCCTTAAGTGTTTTTTTCTTGCAAGATGCTTCATTGACCAAACTAGGTAACATCAGCTGACCGTGAGGACAATCAACCAGTGGAGCCATTTGCCTCCAAGGGGGGTGGAGTAGAAGACCTCCAAGGTCCCTGTAGAATAGAATAGAAGCTGGAAGGGACCTTAGAGGTCTTATAGACCAGCCCCCTGTTCAAGCACTGTCTCAGACATGTGACTGTCTAGCCTCTTCTTAAAAACCTCCAGTGATGGAGCGCCCACGATTTCTGGTGGCAAGATGTTCCACTGGTTAATTGTCCTCTCTCTCTCTCTCTCTCTCTCTCTCTCTCTCTATCTATCTATCTATCTATCTATCTATCTATCTATCTTCTATATCTATCTATCTATCTATCTATCTATCTATCTATCTATCTATCTATCTATCTATCTATCTATCTATCTATCCTTATCTTTCTCTCTCTCTCTCATCTATCCATCCATCCATCCATCCATCCATCCATCCATCCATCCATCTATCTATCCATCTATCTATCTATCCATCTATCCATCTATCCATCTATCCATCTATCTATCTATCATCCATCCATCTATCTCCATCTATATCTATCTATCTATCTATCTATCTATCTATCTATCTATCTATCTATCTATCTATCTATCTATCTATCTATCTATCTATCTATCT